GCGGCTGATTGGCGGTCATCCGGAAATATGCTAGGCGTTCCTTTCAAGGCTGATTCAGCCTGATTGGTGCACAAATTTGGTGGTGCACGGCTGCGTATCCAGACCAGAACTGCCTATAACAGGTTCTTCGAGTCGACAGCGTTGACAAATGTGTTAAACTCACACTTCTATCTGTAATACCATAAACTGTAAGCTGTGTTACTCAAAATAAGTACTCTTTTGTTCTTTACTCTGTGCCTCATGGCTCATTTATCCTCTAAACCGGGTGACAGGTGACCGCCGCGGCTGAGGCTCCTTATCACAAACTAAACCGGGAAACCCGAACTAACCTCAGGCCTTTCATATAATTATTATAAATATTTCTGCAATTGTAGATGATTTTCTTATAATAACATTTCACTTGCACCAAGGGCCATGGAAAGAAGTCAAAATGACATGATGTATTTAGCTACCGGTATTGCTTATTGATTTGTTGTATTGATCACATCATCACAATAAGTGCAAGTTTCAAATTTACTAATAAATTCTCGCTAAACAATTGCTTCATATACCTAGCAATTGAGTTGTAGACAGTAGGAATAAGGCAACAGAACTTACGTAACGCATACGTTTTTTTATAGTTTTTCATTTCTCGATGCGTCCTTAATGTGTCGGAATATACCGCGTTTACCCTACTGTACTCAGTGTACAGGTACATACTGACTGATACAGATGCTAGTCTGCTACTAATAATTTGTATATGTCCACTGAATGATCTATTGTATGTATAGGGAGGGACCCAATTTACTTACCTATGAAGCTATGAACACCAATTTATAGGTACTGTCAACCGGGGCTACTAGGGACAGTTTTGAGCATTTTTTTTTTTTGTCAATAACTATACTACATAGATAGGAAAAATGTTGACGTTTATGCCACTATATTTAGTTTTGCAATATTCCAATTAGTTTTGCTACTAAAACAGTTTTACGCCATGTCGGAGGACTGTCCCGAGTTACCCCGCCCGTCCCAAGTAGCCCCGGTTGATAGTACTAGACTCTAGTATAAATAATTTTAAAAAATTTTATCCCAGCTAGCTATTTACAGATGGATCAGTTTGAAACTTGGTACAACCGTACACATGTGTAAAACCAAAAGAGAAAATTTTTTGTACATGTGAATTTTTGGAAAAAAAAAATGAAAGAAAATGTGAAATTCTTAGTAAATGGACCAAAAAGGGGGTACTTTAGAGTTTAGAATTCTATCTCCTCCAAGTCCTAGGGTTTTCAAGCTACAACATTGAGACACATATCATTCAATACATAAAGACCAGATCTATGAAACATTGCATACATTTTTTGAAATTTTCATTTTTGTGGGTGTGGGAACATTTTTTGTAAAATTTGTGAAAATTTTTTTATTTTACCCCTGCCAGGCACCCTTTTTTGCATTATAAAATCCAAACTATAACTAAATTAGAAAAAAATGTATGCAACGTTTTGTAGATCTTTTCTTTGCAAATCGAACGGTATATCTCTCATTGCTGTAGCTTCAAAACTGTAGATGGAGATAGGATTTACTGTGAGAAAGGTTTTCAGCTTTGACAACTTTTCAGTAGATGCAAAAAAAACGCCGCACGGCACATAAAGGCATGTAACGTAGCTTAGATACCAAAAGTAAGCATCAACTCACTTCAAAGTCAGTCATCGGTGCATAAAGCCACTAAGTGAGCAACATCCCACATGCTGTCTGTGAGGTTACTGAGCTGTAGCTGAGTGGAGAGCACATTTTAAGTTAATTTCCCCCTTTTGGAATTACTGAAGGCCCCACCCTTTTCCCCCCATTCGGGATCTGTCGTGAATGCATAAATCAACGTACAGAGATGGTTCTAGTGCCGTTCGTTGTGGCAGAAAGTAGGCTTTAAGATGAGTGTGAGAACCAGAGAATGTCATAATTGGCCGCTTTACGTCAGACGATACCCTTTATGGTGCCCGGCCAGGTAATTTCCACCTTAACTTTACTGAAGGGGCCCGGACAGTGGACAACTCCCCCCCCTTATGGGATCTGTCGCGAAGGCATAAATCAATGTACAGAGATGGTTCTAGTACCGTTTAATGCGTCAGAAAAGACCTTTGGACCCAGACCCTCCCCTTAACATGAAACTATGCTCACTTAGAACTGATGGTACTAAAATAAACTCTTTGTATCATGAATGTTCTTGTGAGACATAAAACTCTTTCTGAGAGATGTATAGATTGATGATGAATAACTTAACAAAATTGGTAATTTATCCCTGAGAAAGTTTCTGACTAACTTTTTATGTGTTAAGATAATTAATGGGTTCCTGACCCTCTACAATTCTTTGTATTTAATATGAAATGAATGTTATCTATTTTGTTCAATGTATTAGCTGTCTTTATGATAGCAAACAAAAACACAACAAAAACAAAAGCATGCTCACGATTCCAAAACTTAATTATTATTTATCTTTTCTGTTTTGCTTTCAGATAATTTTTTAATACCAACTATGCTATGTGTGTGTTTTGGTTTTAAAAAAATGTAAATCCCCTTTAGTGTTCAAAATAATACATACAGGAAAAACTATTCTTTATCAGTGATGCTTTTCTTAAATATCTCTAATACAAGCTCAAAGTGCCTTGTATTTAGCCATGCAAAGGTACTGTCATCTTGTATCAACTCAGGCATAAAAGTAAATTCTTGTCTGCATTTTTCATTGTTTCCTGGAGCTGCTGATCACAATGTCTCTGATGGTAAAGGATCTAGAACAAGCAGCAATGTACTGCCCTTCAGAAGTATTCCTGGTCCGCCTTGTCTTCCACTTTTAGGGTCCTTACTTCCCTACAAGTTAGGCAAGTATTTCATTGCAATATTTTCTACTCTAATGAAACTGATGCATTTTAAGCACTAATGATGTTTATATTTACCTCTTACCTCTATGTAGTAGGATTCTCATTTGGTGATTTTTGCCAGTTCTGAGTTATTTTAATTTTCATGTAGTAAAAATGGCCTAGCAGGCCTTATTTATTTTAGTGACTGGCTCAATGCATTTTCGGAATATAAAAAACTCAAATAAAAGTTTTTATAATGGTAAAGATTTATTAAAAGATAACACACTAATTTTAAATAATAATGGTGGTCTTATTTACTCAGGGATCAAGAAGTTGGACTACTACCATGAGTACTTGCGTGGATTGTATGAAAAATATGGGCCTGTTGTGAGGGAAGATCTTGGGCCCACAACAATTGTTCATATCTTTGATCCCATGGATATTGACAAGATCTATAAAAGCACAACAGTGCCACACATAGCACCTCTACTGCAGACTGCTAAGGAATACAAGATGAAGAAGGGAGCCAGTCAGGGCATTGGCAACACGTAAGTTGATTACCTACATTAAATTATAGAGGTTGCTAACAATTGTAAATGAGCTAATGAATTGATTAATAAATTTGAATGGGTGTATTTTTGTTGTAAGTCATTTGTAAGGACTGAATTTGTTTGATTAAATTTGGTTATTTTATTGAATTGTATTGATTACTTTTGATTCATGCAGTGCTTTCATGATTGCTGAATGTTTAATTAAAGAAAATGGAAAGAAATTTATATTTTGTTCAGCATATATGAGCAGAAGAACATGTTCATGTTCCTGATTTTCTAAATGGTTCAGGAATTCTGTAAATATGTGAGTAGCAAGCATTGTCTTTGCTAAAATTTTATAACTGATGAAATTTATATTTCAGCCATGTTGTTTGAAGATTTTTGAAGTTGTTTGATATAGGTTGGCCATTTATTGAAATGTTTCATATTGCTGAGATGTGTTCTATCTTAAATATTTTCCAGCAATGGTGCAGAGTGGGAGCGCCTACGGAAGGCTGTTAATAAGTTCACTCTGAGGCCTCAGTTTGTGAACCGCTATATTCCAGTCCAGGATGACGTGAGAAATATTAATTTTATTCATTTACTTCAGTATGTATGTCCTTACTTCCCTACAAGTTAGGCAAGTATTTCATTGCAATATTTTCTACCCTAATGAAACTGATGCATTTTTAGCACTAATGTGTTACTTTTGCCCTTTTTTCATCAATTGCACATATTTCAGTTGTATAATTAGTGTAGGTTCACTCTACATAAACTTGCACTTATGCCATGCTTTTTAGTCCTGTTTGAATACCAGCTTAGTTTGAGAATTGTCCCTAGATTACAAAGTAGATATCATGAATTATATTACCAAGATGGCACAAAACCTCCTCATCCACCTCATTAGCATAATAATGATGACATGACCATTGTTCATGGCATAACATCAAATTTTATTCTTTAAATATGATTATTTTTGGCAGCTTCAAGCTTTCTTACAAGCTCATTCTGTTGAGATTGCAGTTTAAATGTAATAACATTGTTCTACTCGTAAAATCTTAAGTTGCTCATAAGTGTGCGATGTCATTTACAAACTGATAGAAAATGTGTGTGTGAACTAATCAGGTAGCCAGGGAAGCTGTGTCTCTCCTGCACAAGCGTCTACTAAAGGATGATGGCAGTGTTCCTCTGCTTGAGCAACTTCTTGACAGAGTTGTCACAGAGTGTCAGTTCATTTCAACAGAGACTAATTAATGTCATTTGTCCAATTTGGTTAATTGTATTTATCGGTTCATGAGGTGAATAAGCTCGCACTGTGTGTGTCAGATAGTAGCTTTATGTTGGAACTATCCATAGTGACCATGGCTTTGTAACAGGCCTGTTTGCATCGGGATTAAACTAAGACCGTCTTTTGTGCCTCTGGTATATATAGTTCTTGTCTTCTCTGTAGTAACACTATATGAGTACTGCCAATTGTGTCTATGTTATACCTACTGGTTTCTCTGTAATATCACTACCGGTATATTGGTACCTACTGTGAATTGTGCCTCTGTTATAGCTAATGGCTTCTTGGTAGTAATATTATATAGTAATATCTATACTGTTTGTAAGAAGATTTAATTCCATTATCTAAAGCACTTATTTAACTTGAAATGCGGAGGAATCTCTCCTTCTCTAACTGTTGCGTTGTCATGCTACTGTTTCTCAGGTGTCTGCTCTTTTCAGTTTAAAATTGTGTGGTCTGAGATGGCGAGGTTTATTTAATGCATTACTGCATGATCTTTTGATTCTAGACCTTGTGTAGTGTCTTCTGTATCTGAATTGCTGAACAAAATTCAACAATTTTCTTTGTAAGCTATAATTGCCAGAACTTTTATTGGCCTCTCTATTAACGAAGTATTAATCAAGTGATTAGATGATATATACAAGTATTCCTGATATTGTCCTCATACATAGTACATACATGTTCAATAATTCCCTGCTTTCTTTCTTAGTGTGCAATATGTAAAGGTGAGAAATTGCTGCTGTCAGATATCATGTCAGTTATCCAAATAAACATGATTATATAAACATGATATATGTTTATTTATGATATATATAAACATGATTCATAATCATAGTGATATTCTTGATATTATGATTGTGAAGCAGCTTAATTAATATATAATATAAATGGTTTTATGTGCAGCTCTGCACAGGATAGTGCTAGGCAGCGGCCTCGGCTCTCTGGACCCTCAGCGGCAGAGTGCAGATGACTTGGCCATCACCCTCGCCTTCAGCAACAAGCGCATCTTTGAGGTTAGCTGCATGCACTCAGGAAGAGAATTGGGTCATATTGTCTAAATAGTGACACACATACTTCTAATAGACCCTTTAGCCTGGCCAAATTGGGCCAGGATGACCTACACACCGGCAATAAGTCGATCACCATTTGAACAAAGTCTCACATATTACGTTGTTGCCACTACTAGTAATACTATTCACTCACTTTATGTACTTGATGCTGCAGGTCCTGGTAGCGAAAAATTAAAGCTCCTGGTAGCGTGTTTGGAATCTGAATAATGTGGAGAAAGATGTAGATTGTGAATCTATGTAGGGGGCAATATAGGTAGCCAGGGATGTTCCTACATAAAGTCCTTGAGCAACCTCTTCAAATCTAATTATTATCTTTATTAGCTTTTTAATTTGTGGCCATAAGCCTGTCTACTTTATGGCATAAATTTTTTATATGGCATAAATTTTTTCAGCTCATCTACACAAACTTTTTCTATTTTGCTTGAATTTTAATTACACAAATAAAGAAGTATGCAGATCAAATTATTTCTGTATTGTTTATTTTGATTCTAAAAGAATTCATTGTGTTATTTGTATATCGCATGATCACAAAATTGTTCTCAAGATCACGTCTATATATACCTTTATTTTCAGCTGTCGACTCATTTGAAGCTTTCTACTGGCCTCTACAGAAAGTTTCCTACTCTCAAGTCTAAGAAGCTTTGGCAACTCAATGATCTGCTCTATGGGTGAGTCTAGCATGGTTAATGCATCAATTAAATGCCTGCATTATGATCAATGAGGCAAAGGCATCTCCCTATTTTGATCTGCGAATTGTATTGTATATTATTGGCCAAGTTTACGGTTCAATCCTTATGTATTTATTACATCTTGTCTCTTATTATAAATAAACTAATTGTTCACTTTTTATTTTGATTTTACCTCGTTGCTTTGGCAATCTAGTTTACTTGACTGACATACTTGATTTTGTCCATGAAAATTGAACTTCTAATCTAGGCTGGAATTAATTTTCGGCCAACATAGGTTCTAATTTAATTAATTTTAGAAAAAATTGTTCAAAATGTGACTTTTCACCTAACAGCCACATAGTTAAACATAATTATCTCCGAGTTCTGTAAGATTTTTTTGTTTCTAGATACTTTAAAGCAAAATTTTGGAAGTTGTTTTATTCTTTAAATTTTCACTTGCTTTGTTTTCTAAGTTATCACAAGCACAAGTATGCGTTGCGGCTCATGAGACGTAATATGGTCAAGAGTACGTTTGTTTGACGTAACATTTCAGTTTCCAGGTTGCTTGCAAATTAAAATGCAATGAGTAGTAATTTTTCAAGCCGCAGCATTTGATGTCCACATTTTTTCTATAAGTATTGATGAACAGTAAGATTCCAGTGGATATACACTTTTGCCAACATTATCTCTAATTCCAGTCAAGTAAATTAATTAATAACCGTATTATCTTATTATAAATGTAAGATATTTCATTCACTGTAACAAGTTACTTTGCCTGTGTACAGAACTCTACACGAGCTATGCTCTGCCGCTGCGTTTGCCAAGGGAGCTGCTGCAGTTTCTGGTGATGAAGAGCAGGCACGCGACGACTCCCTCATGCACCACATGATGCACGACAACGCGCTCGACGGCAAGGACTACGTCACCATCATCTCTTCCTTCCTCACTGACGCCTACGTCACTGTCAGTTCCATTCAAGTCTACACTAAGAAATAACAATGAACTTTGAGCCTAGGTTTTCGGATGTATATTATCCGTTTCCTTTTAATTGAATTATGAGATTTGTAGTTATTTTGTTGTTCGTGCGCTTGATTTAATGACCGATTTATTTATTTGTTTTGCCGTAGACGGTACCGTCGCTGCTGGGCGCCCTGCACCTGCTGGCGGTGTCCCCCGACGTGCAGGAGCAGCTACGGCACGAAGCCCTCAGCGTCTGCCCCCGTCAGGAGCGTCTCACGCACACACATGTCGCCGCTGCTACTAAACTCGCCGCCTTCTTCAAGGAATCCTTGAGGTAAAATCTAACTGACGCTCATTTATAACTGCTTGCATGTTGAAACGAACCTTGCTATGCTTCTAATATACCCACTACTAAATACTAAACCTCTATATTGGTAGTGAATAAGTAAATTTCTGTTGATGCTTGAATTATTTACTATTTACGACTTGATTTGATTAGAAATATGTCTATTCAAACGTTGTAAAAATGGTAGTCACGTTTGTTTTTGGTGGTGGCTTCGATTAAACATTTCGAGTTGCTTAAGTTAAAAATGTGATCAGTTGCCCTTTCTTAAGGTGATTAGGGTTTTCCTAAACATTTTTGCATTTAGACGTGGGCAGGGTCTGCAATACCGTAATTTTGTTCTATAATTTTCCACGGTCTTGTTAAATATTTATTGAAGGATTATGGGAAACGATGTTCAATTTTTAATGCTGAGTAAATTTTTTTAATCATTGTTAAATTTTGTGTTTATCTTGGACAGCTAACTTCACAATTTTTATTATTAAAAAGACCTCGCGAATTGAGTAGACCTTAGGTGCGCATAACTTATTATTATCTTTCTCTATTGCACAGAATTTACCCCATTGGCGACAGTGTGCAGAGGCTGGTGACAGAAGACATGGTCATCAAGAATTATCTTCTGCCTGCTGGAGTGAGCTTTGCCCGTAGACTTGTTAGAGTAGAACTTTGTTCTCAGTAGCGACGTCGCTCTTGATTTTATTGAAAAAAGTTTTATTATAAAAAATTACTGTTTATCAAAATGTGATGTGGATTTGAGTGACCTCTGATGGGATGAAATTGGAAATCACTGGAAATAAAATTCGCATGACATAGTGACATTCAAAGTTTGTTTCCGTATTAGTTTATACTAGGAATTTAAAAGCAAAAACAATACCACAAAAATTCACCATATCTTTATAAGAGAAAACGTTTCGGAGTCCAGCTCCATCGTCAGTTCAAATTGCACAGCATTAATGCACGTAGTTAAGGTTACCGTAATTCGCATAGGCGAACGAAAGCAGGTTAGACTAAATAGTCACGGCACAGCCACAACTCCAGCGCTAAAGCACAGAATGCAGAGAGTTAACAGAGCTGAGCGGGTTCTGGTATGAACCTCACTATAGCGCTGGCGGGACACGACTAACTACCTGACGCCCAGCCACTCAGACCTGACCTAGTACTAGACAGTTCCAACTGCTATAGGTCTGACTCACATGTCACTGGCGCAGCTTCGCCAGACGTAATAGAATAATTTCGTCACAAGAAAATGCACATTGAATAAATTAGTGAACGATGTTCCTCGTTCACAAAGTGATTTTAAAGTTTATACTAGTGAGCAATAAGAAATCACTGGAATAAAATTCGCATGACATAGACATTTGAAATTTGTTTCCTTATTAATTTGTATCAGTGGGACAAAGACTTAGTATTGATATCATTATTGCCCTCCCCCCAGACGTGCCTGGACCTGAACGTGTACATTTGGTTGCGCGACGCCGCGGTGTTCCCTGAGCCTGAGCGCGTCAGGCTGGAGCGCTGGGCGCGGCCTCCTGAGGGCGGCGTGACGGACGCCTTCCAGCCCATCATGAACACGCCCTTCAGCACCGGCGTCCGCACCTGTGTCGGTCTGTACGCAAGTGATTGAGGCAAAACTGCTTGCGTCAAAAAAGAGATTATGGATGCTTTGCATTGAAATTCAACTTCAGGAAGTATTTTCTTCCACTCTGAATGCATTTCAGGTCAGGAAAAATAACTATTCTATAATTATTCATTTTCAACGATAAAATCAAATCATGTTGATTCTCATTGTATTGAATTTGTCTAGCTTGTCCTGAGGTCCACACTGGCTTCCCTCGTTAATATTATTGTCATCATGGGCATCCCTTCCAATTAAACTACCGTGATCTGTGTTGTAGAGTGTTGCACTGCATTACCTTATTTCGTCTTTAATGTTGCACAAGATGTACGCTGGCTGAGACCAAAATATTCATACAAATATATAATTAGACATTAATGTTATTTATGATTGTAAGGCTAATCTTTTGCAACGTAACTTACCGTAGTAATCTTATTTCTATTCATTGCTAAGGCCGGAGGTTGGCTTTGCACGATATGTCGTGCTTCATCCTGCGGCTGCTGCAGCGCTACAGGATCTCGCAGTCTCCTGTGACGTCACCGCGTCAAGTCTACAGGGTCCTCCTACGCCCCCAAGTCCTGCCTCGCAGCCTCAAATTCCACCCTGTGTCGTAGCCTCAAATTCCACCCTGTGTCGTAGCCTCAAATTCCACCCTGTGTCGTAGCCTCAAATTCCACCCTGTGTCGTAGTCACGCTCACGACGTTTCTAACGTCTGGTTACCGTCAATGCCGATAACCTCACCAGCAGCACTAAATTTACCGGCCTGTAATAGATAAGATATATCTTATTATTAACAAAACGGAACTTTATTTTTCCAGCGCGACCGAAAAAGTTATTTTGTGGTTATATGGCGATCGAACCTCACAAATCGTAGTTGTGACCACTATTGTTTGGTGTAGTGACGAGCGACGAGGTCTGTGCAGTTTCTGCTAAGTTGAAACTTATTTGCATTGACGGTAGGTGAGCTACTCATATCCCAACTCCTCTCACTTTTTCAATTATGTTCTCCATTTTCTCTCTAATGGTGTTTGTATCCAATTTTTAAACTTAACTGTGTTTACGTATCTACATAATAATTCTAAAAAATTACTTAATTTTATCTGCACTGAACCATTTTATTGGTAGTCTAGTAAGTCTAGTTAGTCTACTTCTCGCATCTTGAACAGCTGTTCAACTTCCTGATTATTGACTCTCACCAACACCCATTGGGTCGTTCTTAATCACTCGTCTTGGTGGTGCACTTTATAATCAGTCATCGTTAACTATTGTGAATTACATGCATTCTACGTGAAAAGGGTTAGTTTATTAATGATTATTTCCAGATTACATCGCAACATTTTTTAATCGCTGTTGTTTACTCATACTGCCTTTTTCATTTATGCATTTCGATAATTGTAAAGATTGATAGCTAATACTGAATTATAAGATGTCAATGGAGAGGCTGGATCAGAATGCGCGCGTGAATAAAGTTTATTCGAATACAGAGCTGGTGATGAACTGGCGTAGTAGCAAATTTATATGACCAGCTTGACACAAAACATGAGCTACTTCTTTACTGGATTAATTTAAGAAATTAGGATGGTTGTCAGCCGGGATGCGACATAAATACCTCTATTTTTGCTATCTCGTGTAAGAGCACCAAACTCAGGGGCTTGCCTGAACTTTTTGTTTGATGGATTAGTTGCTCAAGTAGTTTTTATATTATATTTATTTGTAAAATTATTAGGTTCCATGTGTGGGAGCTCGTAGCTATTTGATATCTAAGTTCGTTGGTGATCTCATGACTTTTTCTTGTGCCTTTGTACTACTTAATTGCAATGTATTTTCTATGGTCCAGACTATATTTTTATATGTTGTTTATGATGTTATTTTCGTAGTTATATACAAATATGTGGTTTATGATATATAGGTACTCTACCTAATTTCTTACTAAGTACTGCTTAGGATTTTTCTCGAAATACGAGTTGGATTACCATGAAAGAATGTACGATAATTTCAATTATTCGGTTCTCCAGGGGCCAGCAACCTCTTCTTTTTATTTCAGGAGATTCGCTTTGCTTGTTTTGACAGTTGCTGAAAACATTTGTCCAGTAATAAGCTCTGCGTGCTGCACAGATTTTTCTCAATGGACAGATCTTTGTTATTTATGGCTTTAGAATAGAAAATTAGGTTTTGAAGGAATGTATATCGCATTTTATATGTTGTGGGATGTTGTGTCCAAACGCAAATCATATTAATTGACGTATTCTTTAAGATGCGTTGTAATAAATATAAAATTTACCACATTTCTACTAAATAATCCTTCGATATGTGATGGCTGAACTATGAATATTATTACCGCCGTGCGAGGCATGTAGTTGTTGGTAAGCTTGACTTATGTTAGATACTTGTACCGAATTTTATACGAGTAGCCTTAGGAGGTTCAATTTATGAAGACCATGACTTCGAATCCGTTGTCTTCACTTTCTTTAACTGTTTCCGTGACAGGTCAATAATTGCTTTCGTGTAATATTTTCTGCATTTATGATAGGCTCTTATTGGTTTCAAAATTATCTCTTCACTTTCGCTGATCAAAATTAAAAATATATATAACTCGGTACCCACTGCAGTGAGTGACAGAGCGCATTTTCTCGTCGACGAAAACGAGAAGTCATGGACGGACAGACAGGCGGACATGGCTAGCACAATAGTGCATTTTTTCCATAAATGAGAAAATGCGCTATAAATAACATTTTTCAAATATTCCACTACCCTGGGTCGATGAATTTGAATTCATTTGTAAAAGTTACACAACTTACATATATAGAGAGAAAGCTTCTTGAAGTGTACCACGTTGATTCTGATTTTAAGCAATCGTTTATTTTTCATTGTGTATACTTCTTACGTATTGCCGGGTGCAGTTGTACCCGCTCACAGGCTGTAGTCACTCCATTCGTTTTCATAGGGAAAAATGGATTTACTGTTGTGAAAATTGTAATGCACATTCCCATCTAATTTCTCTATACGTTTTTTTTCCACGGCTGTACTGAAAATTTATGTTTGGTCTCAAGGCTCAGCTTAATTGAAGAATTGCCTCGTACTCTTCAAAATGATTTTTATATTGATGGGAATTCTAGACTTCGTGGGCAAGTTTTGTAACGGTGCGCAGCAAGCCGTCTCGTTTCCTGTAAGGGTAACGGAAGTAAAGCGAACTCATGCCAGCAGTTTGCTTCTAGACATGACGGTGAAGGGAGGCCCTGCCTTCCCCTAGGGAAGAAATAACTCATGTGTACCCGAAACTTAACAACTCAGTGACCCTAATTTTAGGTGTAATATTGAGGAACAATCGTAATATACGAATTGAAAATACGTAGAATGAGAAGTCTAAGTGACCATCCCGAGACGAGTGATCTCATAATAAGCCCGGTGCATGTCGACTGTCGCTGCCGAATTGTCATTTCCGCCAAATCATTTATTGTGATGTCCTACGAGTTTTAATTTATTATTTGCATTATAAATTTTCCAAAAATGTGATAGAGCAGCGAATTTAAGCCACCATACATTTGAACTGACGATCCTCTGGTTACGCTGCCATGAAGATAACAGCCACGGTCGTTCAGAACATCCTGCTACTTGGTATGTGGTCACGTCTCATTCATAATATTCTCGTTTATGAACATTGCAAGCAAAGATATATTTTCTTTATTGATACCTGGTGATGAATCGGTTGATAGATTCGGGATGAGCTAAAATGTTTTAAGTAGAATCGTAGGAATCACTATTGCGACTGTTATATTATTGATAATATATTGAAATAGGTGTGCAACAAGGCATCAAGCCTTGCAGTTTTGTTCTGTGATCGATTTATTCATGAATTTTCGTAATTCGTATTGATAGAAAGTTATATGCATACGCTAATTCATACTTATCTATGTTCCTTTGTTTTTTCAAATTTGTTCGAAATAAAAAAAATTATTTGCACCTATTTTTGAAAACTAATTTCGGTGTGGGCAGCTTTGTTTGCAGCAGGGCCATCGGACGCGTGTCGAGCATCGAACAAGGCCGTCGGTGTGTGTCTGCATATCTTCCTAGAACTATGAATATTATTACCGCCGTGCGAGGCATGTAGTTGTTGGTAAGCTTGACTTATGTTAGATACTTGTACCGAATTTTATACGAGTAGCCTTAGGAGGTTCAATTTATGAAGACCATGACTTCGAATCCGTTGTCTTCACTTTCTTTAACTGTTTCCGTGACAGGTCAATAATTGCTTTCGTGTAATATTTTCTGCATTTATGATAGGCTCTTATTGGTTTCAAAATTATCTCTTCACTTTCGCTGATCAAAATTAAAAATATATATAACTCGGTACCCACTGCAGTGAGTGACAGAGCGCATTTTCTCGTCGACGAAAACGAGAAGTCATGGACGGACAGACAGGCGGACATGGCTAGCACAATAGTGCATTTTTTCCATAAATGAGAAAATGCGCTATAAATAACATTTTTCAAATATTCCACTACCCTGGGTCGATGAATTTGAATTCATTTGTAAAAGTTACACAACTTACATATATAGAGAGAAAGCTTCTTGAAGTGTACCACGTTGATTCTGATTTTAAGCAATCGTTTATTTTTCATTGTGTATACTTCTTACGTATTGCCGGGTGCAGTTGTACCCGCTCACAGGCTGTAGTCACTCCATTCGTTTTCATAGGGAAAAATGGATTTACTGTTGTGAAAATTGTAATGCACATTCCCATCTAATTTCTCTATACGTTTTTTTTCCACGGCTGTACTGAAAATTTATGTTTGGTCTCAAGGCTCAGCTTAATTGAAGAATTGCCTCGTACTCTTCAAAATGATTTTTATATTGATGGGAATTCTAGACTTCGTGGGCAAGTTTTGTAACGGTGCGCAGCAAGCCGTCTCGTTTCCTGTAAGGGTAACGGAAGTAAAGCGAACTCATGCCAGCAGTTTGCTTCTAGACATGACGGTGAAGGGAGGCCCTGCCTTCCCCTAGGGAAGAAATAACTCATGTGTACCCGAAACTTAACAACTCAGTGACCCTAATTTTAGGTGTAATATTGAGGAACAATCGTAATATACGAATTGAAAATACGTAGAATGAGAAGTCTAAGTGACCATCCCGAGACGAGTGATCTCATAATAAGCCCGGTGCATGTCGACTGGCGCTGCCGAATTGTCATTTCCGCCAAATCATTTATTGTGATGTCCTACGAGTTTTAATTTATTATTTGCATTATAAATTTTCCAAAAATGTGATAGAGCAGCGAATTTAAGCCACCATACATTTGAACTGACGATCCTCTGGTTACGCTGCCATGAAGATAACAGCCACGGTCGTTCAGAACATCCTGCTACTTGGTATGTGGTCACGTCTCATTCATAATATTCTCGTTTATGAACATTGCAAGCAAAGATATATTTTCTTTATTGATACCTGGTGATGAATCGGTTGATAGATTCGGGATGAGCTAAAATGTTTTAAGTAGAATCGTAGGAATCACTATTGCGACTGTTATATTATTGATAATATATTGAAATAGGTGTGCAACAAGGCATCAAGCCTTGCAGTTTTGTTCTGTGATCGATTTATTCATGAATTTTCGTAATTCGTATTGATAGAAAGTTATATGCATACGCTAATTCATACTTATCTATGTTCCTTTGTTTTTTCAAATTTGTTCGAAATAAAAAAAATTATTTGCACCTATTTTTGAAAACTAATTTCGGTGTGGGCAGCTTTGTTTGCAGCAGGGCCATCGGACGCGTGTCGAGCATCGAACAAGGCCGTCGGTGTGTGTCTGCATATCTTCCTAGAGAGAGATTTCATGCCACTTAAGGGCATCGTTTACCCATACTCAGCTCCTAACCTACACAGCATGAGGCAAGTCTGTATATTTCTGCTCCGTGCGTGTATTTCCGCAAACACAAAGTTCGTGCGCACTAACGGCAGATGTTTACCAGCATTCAAGCTCGACAGGACAGATAAATATCTACGTGAACTCGACCCCAATCAAATTCTTGTCGGGGATGGATATTTATTTTTCTACTAATTCATCTGCGTTCACATGGCAGCAGTGTAAGGGCTAACTTCCCTGAGTAACTATTGATTGATATTATTTAAGAAAATATTCACCGCGCAATAAAATATAATGTTGACCGTAGAAATTTTAACTGTAACTTGAAGTTTCTTGAGTTAATGTTGCTCATAACTTGCGTGTTCTTATATTGTTTATACGACAGAACGTAACCTTTAGATGAGAGTGGATGATTGATGAATTACTTCTATGCAGCTCGCGATGATTATGAATTATTGATGAATAATTTCTGCGTAAATCGCGATGGTGTGAATAACAAATGAATTATTTCCACTCATCTCGCGATGGGTACTATTAATAAAATGAATTATTTTCAAGCATCTAGCGACGAATGTGAATAATAAATGAATTATTTCGTCGCAGCTATCGCTACGACACGTCGGTGTCAGAGTTCAGTCGCGGGTGGGTGGAGGGACCAGCTCTCGAGCACTCCTGCAAGTGAGTGGCATCGCACACACCGAATTATGAAAATGTTTCTCAATATTCATCGAATTTGCTTGATTTTTCGAGCGATTAATTAGTTTTAGGATATAATTCGCTGTTTGACGGCGAGCTTTTGGGAGTTGGCTGATGGCGAGAATATTTTGTCCCTCACCAGGAGGCTGCGCGACGTTACTGACTGCTGCACGGAAATCCTGTTAGATTGCGACTCTGCCAGCGACTTCTTCAAGTACGTAGTCATGCGCTGTGCGTGCTTTGGTGTGATGAAATATCGAGGGAAAAACTAGTCGTTTAGGGGAAAATCTTAACGAATTATTTCTGCATTACGAAATAATGTGTGTCTGCTGTGCACGTGTGTCTGCTGTGCACGTGTGTCTGCTGTGCACGTGTGTCTGCTGTGCACGTGTGTCTGCTGTGCACGTGTGTGCCTGCTGTGCACGTGTGTCTGCTGTGCACGTGTGTGCCTGCTGTGCACGTGTGTCTGCTGTGCACGTGTGTGCCTGCTGTGCACGTGTGTGTCTGCTGTGCACGTGTGTGTCTGCTGTGCACGTGTGTGCCTGCTGTGCACGTGTGTCTGCTGTGCACGTGTGTGCCTGCTGTGCACGTGTGTCTGCTGTGCGCGTGTGTGCCTGCTGTGCACGTGTGTGTCTGCTGTGCACGTGTGCCTGCTGTGCACGTGTGTCTGCTGTGTACGTGTGTGTCTGCTGTGCACGTGTGTGTCTGCTTAGTATCCTTAGTATCCTTAGTATTTGTTTGGGACACAGCAGTCCCAGGCCACATGTGTCTGCTGTGCACGTGTGTGTCTGCTGTGCACGTGTGTGCCTGCTGTGCACGTGTGTGTCTGCTGTGCACGTGTGTCTGAAACATCGATGCTTCCCAGTAAGTACACAAGCCGTGTTCCTGTATATCTCTTGATGTTAGTGGCTTGTGGCTAACTATGTTCACAACGAGTCTTATTATCATTTTTATTTTTATTAGGCTTATTATTATACTTGTTGCGCAGGTTCCGACATTTACTTTCGGCCCTGGAGAAAGTGCATGACTTCCTCTGCGGGAATCCAGAATCCCGTAAATACAGATTCGTCGGTATGTTCATTTCGCTTTATACATAATAAGTGCTTTTACATATATTTATTAACACATAAGGGCGTTAATATTCATTAAAACTTTGAGGACGTTCATATTTTTTAACACTTATGGGCGTTCATATAAGAAAAGAAGATAAATGCTTCCTGTTTTGGCTACACTCATTCGGCTGGTCAACGTCGCAGTCTTCATTCAATCTTCTTCATTCAGAATGAATTCCTGTTAATTAGATCCGTTTATTAGCTGCTATAAGTGTAGCAAATTTTTTTTTATCGAAACATGTTCATGCGCAATTTGATAGTTTTCATACGTTAGTGGTTTGGAAATCGTAGCCCTAAATTGCAATATTATTAACCACTGGAGCGAAAATCGATTTTGTGTCATCACAAAAGGAGCCTTCAGTCGAGGTGGCGTGTCGATCAATTTTTTACACTCATCCTGTGCTCATTTTACCTCATTTGTAAAATCTTCTAACTTCTGCCTCCGATCTAAACGCTTATGAACTAATTCTTGCTGGCTACTGCGTCACTTTATTTCGATCGTATTAGCGTTTTGGAATTTTGAACGAACTGCCGTGTTAGATATTTTTCATGGATCTTCGTGCTAGATATTTTGTGACCGTCACTTTATCAATGTTCTAACTTAGAACGGTACTTCTAACTAACCTTCGACTATTTCTAGCCGTATTTTTTGGTCAATTTGCCTCCATGATTGAATTGAAGCTGTTAAAAATAAAATGTTAATAAAATACCTACTAATTTGTTCGACTTGTATAAAAGCAAAATTTTGTTGCAGAATTCCTTCAGACGATTGAATGCGCCGAGAAAGCACGTGTAGAAACATACCCGAACACTTGTCACCGCCACAACGTCACTGCTAATGTCTGGAACAAAATCTTCCGCCTTGAGATCGGATCTGAAATATGCGAGTGAGTTGAGCGCTGGGTGACATTATAAACTTTTATGTCGCTCTGTCATGAAGGTTCATAATCACGCACTTCATTATAATTGTTCATTGACATAGAAGTCATAGATGATGATACACAAAGAAATTCTCCACCTTGTTTGAAGTTTTGATGTCTAGAAGATCAAAGTAGGTTGCACAATTTTTTCCGGGAACACAGTTTTTCTTACCATAATTTTCGGATACAATAATGATTAGTACAAACATTTATGCATAGGCTATTCATGCTTTGCAGCAACTTCAGGTTGGTAAGTTTTGAGAATTGTGATCACGGGTATGTTGATGTATTTTAAATATGTGCATGAAAATATGCCTTCACCTGCAGCTCGCTCACAACACAACGGGCATGTCTGCTGGAGAACGGCGACCTTCTTCACTACTGTAGGAAGGAGACCAAAGTAGACATTTACACGCAGGTCAGCTTGCGTTTTGTTCAACTATGAGTTTACATCATCGATTTTTCTTACTCAAGCTAGCTGATTTTTCTTACTTTAGTCAGGCGTTCATCCTTAAGATGACGCCAAATTAAGAAGTCGTTCAAATTTTTAATTAGTTTGCATATACTTTATATGAACCAGTAATACCCAGTTCGCGCGACTCAAGCCATTGTAGTCAGTCCAGGACTTCTGGAATTTTATTACACGGTTGAAACATTAAGTATTTTGGAGGTATTCCGATTGGGGAGCTAGGCACCTTCGGCTGCCAGATTCACATATACGCGCTTGAGATTCATAAAGTGAGATTTAGGTATGACTTTACCATATTTGATCTTCTTGTTCTTTGCGAGTGGGTGTGTACAGTCAATATACTCTGCCAGGTCTCGGGACTGTTTTTGTGGCACTGGTGCGGCACACCTCTGCTGCCGGGCGCCAACAACTTGCCACACGACAGGCTCCCCGGCAGCGCTACATGGACATCAGCCGCCACAGCTCCTACCTCTGCAGCAGTTACCCTTGTCATCTCCTGCACGCTTATAGCCTACGCCTATATTTATGATTAAGCCGTCATTACCCACCATCCCTTCATAGCAGTAATATCATCATCTGTAAGCACAGTATATTGTCCTGTCATCAAAGATTAGTTTTTAGTCAAGTGATGAACCACCAAAGAATGAGTAAGACTCAGCCCAGTTTAATATGTTAAAAATTCCCCTAACAAATTAAGTTCCATCCAAGCTATTTAAAACTTTATGGTAACACTTATATGGTAACATCATCAGGTTGCTCAGATGTTTTTTTTTTTTTTTGCGGATTAAGTGTAATAACGAGGCTCTTCCTCAATCCAATGTTCCCAAGTACTACTTGCTTGCGACACACATAATCTTTACCAGTATACCTATTATATTGACCATCAACACAAACATCGCCGCGATAATTTAAAACTCTATGTATGTATTTCAACTTTTTGAAGCGTTTCTCGTGGTGAAACTGAATAATTCAAGACTGCAATGAATCTCAGGGAGAATAATTGAGGTTAGTCATTTGAGTCTTGAAAACTTTTACTGAACAAGTTACGCTCCACATGCAAACACATCGGATGAATAACTGGGTCGTAGTAAATTATGCACGCAATTTACTTTGGACTGCATTGTATTCCAAATTAGCAACTCGAGCGGTTTTCAATAAATTGAAGCAGAAATACATGCAACGTACCAAGTCCTGGGATAGATTAAAAATAATGGTATGATATATCGAAAAGAGAATCGCTAGACTGTGAATAACGTTCTTTTGATCGTACAAATTTTAAGCGATGCATAGAGGATACTTATCCCGTGGACGTTTTACGGTAGTGACAGTTGATTGCCTATACTGCGGAACAAATCGGGTGGTTCTGAGCCCATTGCCTGACGTCCAGACAAACCACGAAGCTCTTGAACAATAGCTGATTCTCATTCTAGCAACAAAAAAAAAATTTGCTAGAATAGCTGACTCGCATTTTAGCAAAAAGCGATTGCCAAAGGTGTTGGCTAACAAACGGCCCAAGTGTCAGTTCAAGAACCCCCCCCCCTCACAATAAATATAATCGTATACCCCATGATTTGAACAGTAATATATTTCGAAGCATTTATTATTGATGGAAAATTGTGTTGTCAACCTTTCCTCGACACTTATTGCATCAGTCAAGATAGAGAATCTACCAAGAGTGTGACCATTTGACTTGGCTAGAAATGATATGCGCGACAGGTTTGCACGGGAATTGAGGTAGGTATACCAGATGCTCTATTTTCATCATTTAGATTACGCACAGGATTTGCATTGACGTATGGTGACAACTTGAAGTTTTTAAGGTTGTTCGACATTCTCAGGTGATATGAAATTGGTGTATTTTATTACCAAATGAAGGATCCTCCTTGCATTCAAGCAATTACAAATTCATGAATGAACAGCTAGCAGACGCCACATATGTACGTTTCCCGGTAAAATGGCCACTTGTCATCAACTACGCTAACGCTAATAAAAGGTTCCCTCAGGAGGCTGAGCAAGTTTCATGTTCTCTTTCTGAGTCATTAGTCTCCTGAGCTCGTGTAGGACGGTCTTAATGGTGTACGACCTCTGCCATCGTAACAAAACACAAACTTGCCGCTTATCCACAACTCCAGTTTGACTGTTAACTCCTTGCATGTTGATTCGATTGACAAAAGAAATACTAGGAGGTTGATCTGGATAATTGGGTCCACATTGAATTTTGAGCGAGTACATGCGGTTCTCAAAATTGGTACGAGGAGGACCGATGATCATGCCTGTCCAGTGGCTGAGGCTCATGTCGGAGTCGTCTTCAAGGCCCCAGCTGATGGTGCCATCACCAACACCCTTCTGTCCTGCTTCTAGCTCCTCCAGGAGTCTGAAGTTGCGAGGAACAACGGGCTGGTGTGTCGCGGACGTCATGCCTAAAATACATACACATGAAATTAGTTGTTAAATAAGCATAGAGGTATTAATTTATGACTAGGTATATGATTAAGAAGTTAGACAAATTTTGTAAATAAAGATGAACATTTAAGGGCATCTTACCTGATCAGAAGCTCAGCCTCAACTCAATGAAGCGTCTTCCACTGCGAAGTAATTGAGCAAAAGGCAAACTGATGAAATTAAAAAATTTCTTTGATGGGTAAACTTAATAAAATGACATTTAAAAGACTATACACAATTAAAATAAGTTTGCAAGTGCTGCTCTGCAAAAAAAAAAAAAAGATTGGGATTATATATGTGATAGATTTTCTGATAATGTCAACCGATATTATTGAATTGACTTGATGCTCAGTTTTATCAATACCAGATTCTTCTCAAGCTTGCTTGTGCACACTAGGTAACATGTTAGGTTTTGATTCCTTGGTTATGATTGAACATATTCAGAACACTGAGAACTGCAATTGCATTTGTTGAAAACTATGGTAAAGCTGAAGGAAATTTTCGACTAGTAGAGGAATGTTTCAATTGCTCCACTTCTTGAAACTCTTTTCCACCCCTTCTTTGATTTTAATTAGGTACTTATGAGCTGTACACCTAATGTACCTATTCAATTTCAATTTTATAAATTTTAAAACATTTTCTACAACCAGAAAGTGGATTCCAGCTTTAACTGATTATTTTTTTAACCAATACTGGCTTTCTGGTGACATTTTATTTGTTTTTCCAGGTCAAGCTAAAATTCACCATCTGAGTAGCACTTATGTCACAGCTGCCAGGTTTAAAGATAGAAGTGCCTTCACAATAAAATGTAAATAAGACAGTGCCTTCATCATTCAGGACCCTCACTATTTTAAAAGGCAATGAGGTGCTCACTATCAAGACTCAAAAATATACATTTTCACATTTTTTGAGTTGACAAATAACTTTCTAAGTTATGAAATAATTTTTGTTCTGAGAATCTGTGTGCATAAAAATCAATCAATTTTCTGTTGCACAAACAAGTTAATTAAAATATATTGTTCTACCAAAAGTGCTTCTTCACACCGTAACTACCATGTTAATGTGGCCAAGCGTTTGGTTTTTCACTGCATTATTCACCAGCAGGCACTGTGTGGCAAATATATGGATTTATCTTCTGTGATGGAACCTGTCGTTTCAATAGTAAACTACATTCATTCTCAGACTTTACCAATATTAGTTTCGTGCTTTCTTGGAGGAGATAGAAGCAGAATATCCAGATTTACCCTATCACACTTTCGTTTGTTGGCTTACCTGTGGCAAGGTGTTGTCACAATATTTTGAACTCTGAGCAGAAATTGAAATTTTCCTGAATGAAAAGAATCAACCTCAGCTGCTACTTAAATTGGAAATCAGACGTTTGGAAAAAAAACTATTTTTGTTAGAGACCCAGTTGATGAGGAACTGTTTCAAGCACTTTCCATGTTGTGAAAAGTTTGAGCAAGAAACTCAATTTTCATTCCCAAGAAGAGATTTGCACAAGGCATTATTTGCAATCAGAAACAGAAATTTCAAGAACGTTTAGCTGATCTTGATGCATCAGCAGCAATTAAAGATTTTTCAAAATCCATTTCATTGTGCCATTGAAGATTTGCCATCTCAACTTCAATTTGAAGTACCATAATTGATCTGCAAGCCAATGACACATTGAAGGACAGATCCAGAGAAGGTAAGCTGATTGACTTTTACAAGTGTCTGCCAAGCAATGAATATGCTCATCTACAAGTCTTTGCTTGTGATTTTATTTTCATTTTTGGCACTGTAACCTATTAATGTGAACAAACATTTCTAAGATGAAGTATGTCAAGTCTAGCTACAGGGCAGCCTTATCTGACCCAGGTCTCATAGTGTGGCATTAAAGTTGTTGTAATCACCCATCACTGGTCATTGAGTCATTGAACATGCATTTGCTAGTCATCGGTCGGTAGGTTTTCCGGTCAAAAACTTTGGAAGCGCTGGTTGTTAGGTCATTACTATGGAATTCTTAAGAAGCTATTCTTGTAGTTGAATATATTATTAGTACCAGATGAAAGTGATGAAAAATCAGTGGATCAGTTGAATTATACAATAATTCTTCAGTCTATTATTGTCTTATGAGTTACAACTTATGTTTGCATCAGCACTCACATGCCATAACATTCTCTGCTTACTGCAAGCCTAATGTAACGGACATAACTGCCTAAAATTTCTAAAACATGGATGACACTTTTACATAAAAGAATAAACCATGCTTGAACTAGTACAAGGTTGACCAATGAGATGCTCTTTTTTGCAGATGTATCTTGTTGGTTGTCTGTGACATCACTGATCTCAGTGACGTCACGTCCATTGACCAATAGCCAAAATGCGATCAAACCAGTCAAACAATCCATCATGGGAATGACGGGATTGTTTACGTTTTTTGATCTCGGAGACATAACAAGAGAGCTAAATTGAAAGATTACTTAGTTTTTATTGATCTCCTTATGATTCATTTAAATTTGTAGGGTAAAGTGAAATAATATTGACTTATCATTTATAAAAGGCATTTGGTTAGATTAAATTAATCAATTTCCAGATTAAATTAACAATTCATTGGAACCTAATACACATTAACTGTCACAAGTTTATATTCCAATTTGTCATAGTCAGGGTTGGTGATTTTTTTATTGTTTTAAAAAATCAAAAATCATCTATTGTTTTTATTTTTTCATGATTTATTTATTTATTTATTTTTTTACTTTTTTCAGCTTTTTTGTCTTTTTGAAATGTTATTTTTTATGTTGCAATTAGCCTACTAACAATAATAGTATATAGATCATAATGGATGGCTAAAAAGGGCACTTATTGCCTTCAATAATGGCCAACAGGCCAAGGTGGTGTTTACCACTTTCGGATTTTTGGGTAAACAATTATTGGGTAACAATTATCAATAGATCTACTAGTTTCATGTCCTATAAAGAGGGTTGGTGATTTTTTTATTTTTTTTTAATAAAAATAAAAATAAAAAATCAATTTTTTTTCATTTTTTCATGATTTTTTTTATTTATTTGATTTTTTCAGTTTTTTTGTCTTTTTGAAGTGTTATTTTTTATGTTGCAATTAGCCTACTAACAATAACAGTATATGGATCATAATGGATGGCTAAAAAGGGCACTTATTGCCTTCAATAATGGCCAACAGGCCAAGGTGGTATTCACCACTTAGGGATTTTTGGGTAAACAATTATTGTTAAGTCTATTCATTAGCTTTGTTTTGTATGGAGTAAGGTAATGAGCTAAATATTGACCATTTAACTGGCTTCAATATACAAAAACACTTCAGGAATGCAGATCTTTTAAACGTTGAATAATCACATAACAGATAGGTAGCATGATAGCACAGTGCACAGCACTATCAATACGGTAGATCTACTAGTTTTATGTCCTATAAATCTACCAAACTCTACCCTCTATACACACCGATTAATAGTGACTGAGTGACTGACTGCACTGCTCCCATTTAATTCAGACCATAAACCAATAGTAAACATAAACTGAATGATAACCAAACAAACCTCATGCGACTTGAAACGAGACTTAAGTAATGAGAAAGCTAACACGTTTGAAATAAACATGTGCACAATTCAAATATTTTATATCCATTCACTGCCTTTAATTATTTTATATATAGTCTTATAATTGTAATTGTTTTGTTTCTAGATTTAAATTCACATATTTGAAGATTGAAATTAAATATTTTAATTAGAATACTCGTATTAGGTGGAAAATCTTCCTAATTGCCTAAAAGGTCAATACAATCTCAACCTATCAATATACAGGGTGGGGCAGAACTGATTGAGCAGTTTTGAGGTAAAATAAAAGAGTAATGGAGGTACATAAAGAGGAAAGTTTATTTTCCTAGAGGTTAGCATAACATACCATTTAGAATACTTATGTTTTGAAAACAATATCTGGAAGATGAGGGTCGTAAGCTGCAACACACTGTTGGAGTCATTCTCAGAGGAGAGAGTAACCATAACAGAGAATTCCGATTGCTATGCTGCAATGTTGCAAAATTTCTTGCAGCCCATGATGGAAAACATTGTTGAAAATGAAGCATTGGGAGACGTGTGGTTCCAGCAGGATGGGGCTACAGCTCACACAGCCCAAATGTCACTCAATGTTTTGAAACGCATGTTCTCCGACTCTGAGGGGTGATTTATAGTGGCCTGCAAGGTCACCTGCTATGAGCATTTAAATATGATGAATATTTTTTTTACTACAGACCTTAGCAGAAGTAACTTTTCAAAATATTGTTTTTCACCACTTTTTTCAGAAATTTTTCAAAGCTAGTGAATGTAGTATTTTTGAACTTCCTTTATAGGTACTACATAGATAGGAAAAATGTTGACGTTTACGCCACTATATTTGGTTTTGCAATATTCCAATTAGTTTTGCTACTAAAACAGTTTTACGCCGTGTTGGAGGACTGTCCCAAGTTACCCCGCCCGTCCCGAGTAGCCCTGGTTGACGGTACCATTTAGAATACTTATGTTTTGAAAACAATATCTGGAAGATGGTGGCTGTTAGCTGCAACACACTGTTGGAGTGGTTCTCATAGGAGGGAGTTACCGAGACAGTGAATTCTGAAGGCTATGCTGCAATGTTGCAGAATTTCTTGCATCCCAGGATAGAACATTATGGAAATGAAGCTTTGGGAGACGCGTGGTTCCAGCAGGATGGGGCTACAGCCAGGCATGGAATATATCTAGTTGGCAAGCCGCCACTGGATTTTTTGAGCCGTGGTTATATGGATTTGCCAGCCGCAATTCCATTTCTTGGAGCTGTTAATTCCATATTTGGGCCATGAAAAGCCATTTACGAGCAGCAAACTTATTTTCAAAGTCTTGTGCATGTGTTACCCAAAATCTTTAATTTTACCCTAAAACAGTCATCAAACAGACACACTAACATTTGCCTTGACTTTAGTGGCAACTGAACACATGATATTGCAATCTGACCACTCTGACATGACTGCAAGGAAACATTTTGGATGTTGAAATGGGTCGCCCGCCAAAGACCACCACAACCCTGGATGTAATGGACCATCATGATTCCTGCCTTCCAGAATGTAGCCTCCAACACTTCTGGACAATCATATAGGCAGCCAAAAGCCACCAGACAGAATGAATCAATTGTATTAGACCAATCAGCCTTCAGGAGAAACAGCCGGCAATCGAATG